TTTCCCATTGAATATTCCTACCAATTAGGATTGTACTTTCCATAACAAAACATTTAAGTGGTGTGGCTGAAAGCCTTCAGACAGAAAGGATAAATGCTTAGCAGTCTCTAAACCAGTGATTCCAGCATTTCAGAAAGGATGATTAATCACATGTGAAGCTATAGTAATGGGTGAAAGACTTACATGCTTTGAAGGGTTCTTAGGGCAGTTATTGGTGAGTCTGCTGCCCAGGTTTTCAGAGATGCTTGTTCCCTACAAAGAAGCTGATGAGAATCCTGGTTATGTAGCATTAGACCAGGCAACTTGTTTATCATTATAGTAATTCTGTTTTTCCTGTTTCTACTCTTGCTGATAGGATCAGGCAGCTAAAGATAAAGCCATGCAGAGTATGGCCACGATGTCATCTGCCCAGATTATCTCTGCAACTGCCTTCCATAGTAAAATGGCCTTGCCTGGTCTCCCACGACCAGCCTACCCTGCTGTTTCTGGGGTGAGTGAATCCGTGTCTTGGAGGAGTTGGGCTGAAGACACTTGAGTATTTGAACGGGTGTTGGGACATCAGAAAGGGTGAGCCAAAAGGGATCGTCTTTGTAGAGCAAATCTGTCGTATGGCTTCAACAGTTTGGGTCTAATTCTTTGCTCACACTTATGTAAAGCAATAGTGTTTCACTATATGCTTTTTTTAAAATGATACAAGTGACAGAACAATCGGATCCTTTGGGTTTTCAGCTGCCTGAAATATTACGTGTCTGTATCACTTTCTTAGTCCAGGATCTTGTTGGATTAAAACTGTTTGCGCCCTCCTGACCCTTTCTCAAGCTTATCATTCTCAAGCTCATCTTGAGTGCTTAGGTCACAAATTGATGGCACTTATATAAAATCCTTAATAGAGAAGGCCTGTCAGCATCCCCTAACATTTGAGTTGGGCCTGGTGAGCTTTTGCTGAGCATTGATTTCTGCCAAAACACTGCTGTGGAGCTCTCCTGGGGAAAATGGTCCCTCCAAGAGAGTAAGCATCATTAAAGCTTTGGAGATGGAGGCAGAAGGTGCATACATCTAACATTAAAAAGCACTATTGGGTCAGTCGGTTACATGTCACTAGTAGTGTTGAAAGAAAATAAAGACCAGTCAGCGCCTCCACAAGGATGAAACTAGGAAGGTAGAAGGAAGAGATATAGCTCAGTCACATCTTTAAAAGTCTGTGAGCTTGCCATTTCTTTCCTCAGAAAGGAGCAAGCCTTGCTTTTCATCTCTGTCCTAAAAGTGGTGACTTTTGCCTGTATGTTTTTCTCTTGCAGTTTTGGCAAGGAGCTTTGCCAGGCCAAGCTGGATCTTCCCAAGAGTGAGTATTCCTTCACGTGAGCATCCAAAGCAGGTGCTTCTGCCTCTTCCTCTATGCTGCCTGAGGAACACTATTAGCTATTACAAGAGTTATAAAATGCTATGATAATGTAGTCTTTGCTCTCAGACAGATTCTCTGATCGTGGATCTGAGACTTAAGGCCCATGGTTGAAGACAGACTGAAAGTCATGAGAGAATCTTAAATAGATAAACCCCTATGTCTTCATATGGTACCTACAACATGGATTACACGCCTTTAATGTGTCCCATGACTCAAGCAGCCTAATCTGAGTTATTTTAGGGAGCTGCTGAATCTGAGAGAGGTGAGGCTGCTGCAGCTCCATGCTCCCAAGTTCAATCAGTAGCAAGGCTGAGCATGTATTCCTGGTAGGCACATACATATGCACATGCATATGCATATGCATTGCACATACACACATATACACATGGCTGGCCACACAGAACAGCACAGACAGACAACGCTCAGCACTCACACAAATACAAACAGCACCAACAGCCTCATCCTGTACCCCTCTCTGGCTGATGAGGGTGAAGATGTGTTAGTGGGAAATACACATGCATTGTGGGTCCATCCACTAGCTGCCCTGGGATCCCTTGTCTCCCTGCGTGCTGGCACCCAGGCAGGTGAGCCCCCGAGGCCACAGCCCCATTCCAGTTGCTGGTGCAGGCCTCTCACTCACACACACACACAAACACACATGTATGTGCACAAACATACACACACACTGTGAATCTCTCCCATAACTGGGCTTAGATACACAGTCCACCCAGTAGCTGGATCTTCACCCTCCCCGGTTTGCCCCCCACAGAGATAAACACACACACACACAAACTCATCATTCAGTCGACCTCCAGACTCCACCCACAGTCTTTCTGTCATTTGGCCTGAACCTCTTGGTCCGTCTGAAAGCATCCTTACCCCTGGAGAGACACACAGCTGGCTTCCAAACCACCTACTTGCTGGCTAGTCTGGCTTGATAATAGCTAGTGATCACACCCTCACTTGCTGCTGGCACTCCAGAAACAAACAAACAAGCACACAGAACTGAGAGCTCCTCATGCAGGAAGACAATTAGAATTAGAAATAGAATTTAGTGAGAAGATAGGACAGACTGCACTGACAAGGTGCCAGGGCATGGACAGAGTACTGTACTGACCTTCTTACATGCGACTGGCACCTTTTATCACTGTATTCTCCCTAAACATCCCCATAATAAATCTTGTGCGATCCCCAAATGCTCTTCGCTTGCATTCCATAATGTGTCCCATACCATCTAGGCAGTAACCCCCTCAGTTTGCAAGGTGACTGGTTTGTAAGCCTCCCCAGCTGGCTCACTGGGTTGGTTTCACACCTGGACAATGGGGCTGATGGCTCTCCTGTGACAGCCCTGGCAGGGGCTCTGTTTCTCTAACAGGGTTACTGGGGCTCCCCTGCCCCAGTGTGGAGATGAGCCTTTGATGGGCTGATCCTTCACCAGTGAAGGCCCTGGGTGTAGTTGTGTCAGAGTATTATTTGCCTGCCATTGTTCCTCTGTGCTCCTTTGTTTGTATGGGGGCACACTTTTTATCATGTAACCTAACAAGAGCAATCTAAGTCAACTTAAGGACAAGCAACTGGAAGGGAGTATGTTCTTCACGCAAGCCATGTGTTCCTGCTGTCCTGTGGTGCTATTGCTAATGTTTGTGGAGCAGATCAGGGAACAGATAATATTAAAATACCTTGTGGGGAAAAATGGCTAGTAAAAGAATGGAAGCCATCCTAGGAGAAATAAAAAGTAGATTTTATGCCTTTAGCTTGAAAGTGAACAAGGAAGCATCAGTGTGAGAGGTTCTTTTAGAAGCTTGAAGTATCTGCCACCCCGATGTCAGATGATGTCTCCAGATCCTGTTTTTTCTTACAGTGGTATTAAACTGGAGCAGAGCTGTATTGAAAGCTAGGTTCAGTTGTGGGTGTTGAACATCTCTGAATCTGGGCCTAAAAGTCTGAGAGGCATCCAGCCCAGATGTATATCCACTTACATAAATTTAAATCTATCTGTGGTTGAAAGAAAAGGATAACTGAATGGGCACCAGTGTGTTAACAGGCTGATAAGGATCTCTGAATAAGAAGGCTGCAGGGAGAGCTTCCTGAACACCTGCAGGGAAATCATAATCTGTCCAGTCCTGGCTCCTTACTGTTTTTTTTTTAATCTTTCTCCATGAAAGTTATCTCTATTTTTTTAAATTTTTAATTAAAATTTTACTTTTAATTTTTTTTTTTATTTTTTAACTTTTTTTTTTTAACTTTTTCTCCATGAAAGTTATCTTTATTTTTTTTTTAATCTTTCTCCATGGAAGTTATCTCTCTTGCCCACGCAGAAAGATAACTTCCCAAAGACACTTATGCCACTTTCCCTCTCAGGAAAAATACTTGATCTAATCTGCGCAAACAGTTGGTCAAGAGTCTTTTTGATTTGGGTTGGGTTTTTTGTTAACCATCTCTCTTTGTGTACTTCTGTAGCGTGAAACCTTTTTCTCAACAACCTTATGCTGTACAGCCTCCGCTGCCATTACCAGGTAGGTAAGGAAATGTAGTTCCTTGTGTTGAAATTATATTCCAACTTCAAAAATAGCCAACACTTCAAAAAATTTAAAATTTTTTTTTTAAATTTTTACCTATTGAAATATTTTGGTGAGCCCAAAATTAATTTTAATATCATTTCCCCTTATCACCAGTTCCTATCCTTTTACTGAGAGAGCTGAAGCTTTTTAATTTTGTTTTATTATAAAAAACATTTTTTCCTGATTTAGGTTGGTTGTTTTGGGGTTTCTTTTCATCCTGGCTCAGCAGAAAATAAAAGTTTACGTATCTCTACTGTTCTTCCACCATGCTACATGTACTAGAACACTGTTTTCCATCATAGCATGATTACCTTTACAATTTCTCATTAAGTGGAACAACAAATGTCTTTTCCTTTTCAGTTTCTCCATTTTGATGGGTTAATGGTCATGTTAACGGTGATGCTTCATTCTGATACTAAAGCAGTGTATTTCACTGCTCATTTAGGGCTCAGTCTAGGTCCTCTTAAAGTTGCTGAACATGTTTTCTCTGGCATCAAAAACAGGTAGATTGTCTTTTACATCATTACCAACCCTGACAGTGCTGTCTTAGCAGAGAGTAACTGACAAGCCATTTAGAGCACAGGTAGAGCGAGGACCTTCTGAATGATATTTTTTGCATGATGACTGAAGTCATAAGAAAATGTAATTAGTCAGTTTTGACAACAGGTGCTCTACTGGAAAGCTATTACCAACTTTTCTCTTTCTTGTTGTATAAATCCTGTGTGCTTAGGGTTTGAGTCTCCTACTGGCCTCTCGCCTTCCCCATCAGCACCAGCTTGGCAAGGACGAAGGGTTGCTAGCTCCAAACTTTGGATGTTAGAATTCTCTGCATTCTTGGAACAACAACAAGACCAAGACACAGTAAGATACACACCTGACTTCTACTCCTCATTAATTTTTGGTCTTCAGGTAGTTCCTCTTCATCATGGATATGTTATACTACTATACGTGTATGGAAATACTTGCTTCGTTGCTCTGCTGAGAATAGAAAGCCATCTTTGGGAAACACAAGATATCCTTCTCTTAAAGGATAGAATTACCTGTAGCAATATAGCCAGCTCTGTGCCGTGTGCTTCTGGCCTCCCTTTCCAGGGTTGTGGATGTTCACATACCAGAGCTCAAGGGACTGAGGTCATAAGACAATGGTACAGCCCCTGCTGGGCTATTCTAGCTGTCCCGTTCAGCCTTGGAGGATAGACCCAGAATCAGATGATGGTAAGATCACATGAAGCCACGTATTTCTCTGGTGTGCTGGGAACTTAAATGCGGGGGCAATTGGGATGAATTTGCATCAATGTATTTCCACGGTGCCACCTATAAAATGCAAGTAGTAAGATTTGCCTGTCTCACTAAATGGGTGTGATACTCCATCTTGAGACATATATTGGTGATGGTCCAGTTACATTTCCTCTGTCTGAGGTAGGAAAGTTCAGAAAAGATGATATATTGGCTGGTACCTTGCTGTGGGATTTCAGGTAGCTCTTCATAGGACAGGAGCATTGGTGTTTGACTGAGTGACCTGTGACAGGTAACACTCTGTATCTCAGGTTAATTCAGACTATATAGCAGCAGCATGAGGCAGTGGTTTAGGAATGAATATAGGAAAAAAACCCAACAATAATGTTTCAGAAGAAGCAAGAAGCATGGATGTATTGATAGGAAAAAAATAACAATATGAGCTCCTATTAGCAGAGATATTTCTGCTAATACTTCTGCTCTTTTAGAAAGTGCTATCAAATCTTCAGTGACTTCACTTCTGTGAAGAATCATGAATGTTCAGTATGTACTGAACAGTACTGAATGATTTCCTAACTCCATGTTTTTCCTCTTCTTGCAGTATAACAAACACCTGTTTGTGCACATTGGACAGTCAAGCCCCAGCTACAATGACCCCTACCTCGAGGCAGTGGATATCCGGCAGATCTATGACAAGTTCCCTGAGAAAAAAGGGGGCCTGAAGGAGCTCTTTGAAAGGGGGCCAGCTAATGCCTTCTTCCTTGTCAAATTCTGGGTAAGGGAAGGACCCTTTGCAGGGTACCTATTTGCTATGAAGTTCTCACTTTAAAAGCGGTGGCCTTGCTAGCTGTTAGAAGACTGCCGCCTGTGCAGGCAACTTAATACAGTCACAAATGTCACTGGAGATCTTTTCTTGGCTGCACAAGGCCCTTATTCTGGCCTGAAGCAGGATGTATCTTTCACAATGTCATCTGTAGAGTTGTTCTTGACTAGTGTCTGGAGATTTTATTTGCTAATGGTGACTTACCTTATTTATGTACAGGAGAATTCAGATGAAATTATTCTCTGTGTACCCTTATGTGTTCACTTCTCTCAGTGTTGAGTAACTTCTCAGTCAGAGGCAACATTTTTCTATCTCTTCTCCTATCTCATTAGCTGCATTTTGTGTTATCCAAGTACTAATAATTTATAGATGCATATTTACTGCAGGCACAAGGACAGACAAAAGATAAGAGAGACATATAATGGAATTGGATTATGCTGATAATATATTACTGAAATGACTTCTGGTAAGTTGGCAGAAATCAGCCTGGCAAAAGCCTACTCACTCAATTTGGATTTTTGTGAGTTAGCTGAAATTTGAGAAAACTGTGCCATTGTGCTTCAGGGTACAAACAAAATAGTTTTGATGATCGATATTATCATAGGTATTACAAGATTAAAAATAATAGCAGCTTGGGGAAGTTGCACACTAGATGGCTGAGGGAATGCGCAATGGGACTTGGAGCTTTTCACCTTGAGTTTACCATTTGTAATTCAGCCCCAGGTCAGGAGTGAGATGATGAGAAATGAGCTTTCATTTCTCATACTCTTCATAAAAACTGGCACTAGAAAGCTTCTTAACTGGTGCTTTCAGGAGAAGGAAGAGTTAACTTAAGTACCTTGAGATGCAACTTCCCAGCTGCCCCAAGCCTAGCCTTTCCAGAACTAAGTTGGAGAATGTTGGCTGGGAGCCTGCTGTTCAAGTGTCTGGTGCTTAGAGCGTTAGTTATTGGTGATTCTTGGAGACACATAATTTTACTACCTGTAGACTGTGTGCTGCTGAACTGGGTCCCTCATGTCAGCCTCTGTTGGCATACAACAAAGTCTGCTTGGGAAGGTCAAAACAAAAAGTAAAAGACCAGCCCTGTTCCGGGTGGAAGAGACATACTTGGGAGAGACAGCAGCATCTTGCTGAAAAGGGTATCCTTTGATAAAATCTGGGTAGTGAGTGCCCTACTAAGAACTGTCCGGAAAGGGAAACAGAAGTCTGATGTAACAAAAGAAAGGCAAGAGAGTAAGAGGGGATAGCTTCTAAGAAACGGTCCTTGGAAAAGTAGGAGCTGTGACAGCTGCTTCCTGCTGCGGTTTAGGGATCCCAATAAAGCCTTCGTGTCAAGGTAAAGAGCACTGGCTCCTGTGTGGTATCACTCTGAAGTGCTTTGGAAGTTTCAAGAACCAAAAGGAAGAGCTTAAAGGAAGACGTTACATAGACAGAATAAATCACTTTGAATTCCTTGAATTAAGAGGAGAGAAATCATAATGAAATTGTGATCTAGTGCAACTGTGATTTTATTTATCAAAACTGTTAGTGTGCTTTTGTGCTTCCGGGGTTGGGTTTGGGGATTGTGTCTGTTTGGTTTTTAATATTAGAAGGATAAATGTGGCCTATGCATCCTGTCAGAGCAACCTAAGTTAGGCTTTTGAAGGATTTACTTGGTGGAATGTCATTAAGTTGGACTCTTTCTGGGCCCACGTGAGGTGTCTGGTGTTCAGAGGGTATCAACTCACTGAAATTTGGCTTGCAAAAAGAGATGTGACATAGGATTTGAAACACCTTTACTCCAGTGTATACATGATGCCCTGGGACTCTGCATCTGTACACTTATAATGACAGTGATATTTCTGGGCTTGGTTTAATATTTTGACTTTCTGATTCTTTTTTTGGTACCCTTGCATTGTTGAATCCCATCTGGTGTTAACATCAGGTTTTATTGGTGGAGACGCTACAGGCTGTCACTTACAAATAAGCTAACTTCACTAGTCAAGTCATTGATTGAATGGAAGCTGCTAAGGCTTTTAAGAAGTAAATCATTTGGTCTTGTGTTTGTTTCTCAGTGTAGACAGTAGTAAGGGATGAAAACACCATCCCTGATGCCATATTCTGGGTGAGAAAGGATTGGGACACTTTTATGATTTGCTCTGTGTTTCACAGGAGTACTTACATTAATCCTGTTGTAAGCTTTCAGATAGGATCTCTAAGGCAATATAACTAAAGCAGTTCAAAAAAACTTTTGCTCCAGAAAATTTGGACTTTTTTGAGGAAAACTCCAAACTTTTTATTGCAAAACTTTGTATTCAACATGCCTGAAATATTGTGGTAATGCAGTCTTAAACAATTCATGTGAGCCATGCCTGAAATGCACCATGCTACATGTGTCATGGGACTTCCCAGGTTTGGTGTATTGCGATAGGTGTGTGTAGTGCAATCCCTTCCCAGTAAACACTTTTCACAGATAAGGCAATGTCATTTAAAGAAACAGTTTAAAGGAAGAAAACTAGATTTCAGCTGAGATTTTTATACCCCTCTGCATTTTTATACCTCTGTAACAGTGTATGCTAGGGTGCTTTTTCATTTTGCTGCCTGATTGCTCTGGACAGCTATACAGATATACTGTTGATGTCCAGAGATATGTTGGATAAAGCAATTACTACACTGTTGAATTTATAGCATCATTTTAGGATAAAAGTATTATCCAAAAGCAAATTACCAATAACCTTAAACTTGGCGAGTAGAGTTAAATACTTGAAGGGGTGTTTTGAGACATGAGGATATGATTGATTTTTCAAAGGTTCTGAATTGAAGTGGTGGTTGCCAGTGACGAAGACTTAAAAAATCAAGGCACCGAATAAGTTGGTTTTGTATATATGTAGTTTTAGGCTTGAAGAACCTGAGGCAGGAACCTGCCATTACTGCACTAAGCATTCAATATACCAGCTGGTCTGTTGTGCACCAGAAGCCTACCTCTAAACACCAGGGCTGGGGTTTCTTGACATCACTGATAGCACTTAGGATGTAGTGTGACTAAGAAAGAGATGTTCATGTTTGTTCAATGGTGCTTTAAATTATTTATACAACAGCTAAGAGTTAAAAGTTGATTAGTTTGAAACATAAGCAGTGTTTGCAATTCTTCCTTGATTTTGGCATTGGGAGTTTGGTACAATGAACTAACTCTTTGACTTGGATTGACAGGTTGTGTATGACATCTGTGTGACATTTCTCTGTGCTCCAAGTGCATTCTAGCACACGACAATGAATGTGAGACATTAGCCTCCCAACACATGGGCAGTGGCAGCTCTGCTCTTTTCCAGTGTAATATTATCTCTAGCACCTGTTAACTTGGTTCTCCCCATGAACTCCTCCTATATGCATCGTTATTAATAGTTTGGGGAAGAGGCGTTTCCAGAGCTTTGCAGATTAGTAGAATGGTGCGCCTGCATCTTAAAGCTTTCAGAAGTTGTGAGACTCTGGGTGGAAGACAGAAAGAAAATGACAAACCAGGAATTCAGGACAGGCAGTACTTTGTCCAGAGCAGCCATCTGCATAGGAGTGAATCAGGGGAATTGCTTGGGAGACCTTTCCTGCCAGTGATGAATATATGTAGTAATTTCTTCTCCTCAGTGATAGGCAAGCTGGACCAGTCAAATCACTGAGTGTTTTCTGTCCAGTAAATGAATTATACTTTTGTGGAAGGGGCTGAAGGGGTGAGCTGAAGACTGCTGTCCTGCACTTGGCTTATCCCCTGTACCAAGCAAATCCAGTCAAAACAGCAGCAGTGTAAATTCCCCTCAGCACCCTGCCCTGCCCACTGTATGCCTTCAATCCTGACCTGGCAGAAACTGCCTGGAGAGCAAGGAGATGGTAGTTTAGTCTCCACGTCCATTCTGTCCTTGGCACTTCTTCTGAGGCAGCAAACAAGACAGCAGCTAGCAACAGAGATTTTTATGATCTTTGCACATTTTTTCTGAGAATGGATATGACAGCCCATTAATTTCACCTGCAGGCACCAGCATCACCTCCTGCTGTCTTATATAAGGGGACTCTGTCAATGGCATTACTTTCACCAAAGTTATTCCCCACAGTGTTCAACAGTATAAAGATTGTTGGCAGCAAAAAGCAGACTGAAAGACTGAATTGCTGAGGGAATTGGTCTGCTGGGTGTGAAAATAACACAATCCTGGCGGACTAGCTAAGTCTCGGCTACCCATACTGTTGGCAAGGCCTTCTGCTATCTTTGGCTAGCTCAGAAACTCTCCCCTTTCCTCCTTCTTGGAGGCTGAAGCTGCAGTGGCTCAAGTTTTGGACTGTTCTTAAAGAATTGTTCAGCATATGCCTTTCCATTGACCACGTGGGACCTGTGTGCAAGATCTCGTCAAACTATGGTTTCTCACAGCATGTAATGCCATTTGGACTCTTGTCCAATCATTGCTTTTCAAAGCCTCAGATAAGCTGAAGGCTGATTCTCAAAGGTCACATTTCGCTCTGTAAAGAGTTTCAGAGAAATTTTGATTCACAGCCTCATCCTAGTGGGAATGAGGCCTTTCTCGGTAATCAGTTGTGAAACTCACTCCCTCCAAAGATCAGACAAAAATCTTGGCTTAGTACATGGTTAGGACAGTGCACAATGCCAACTTTTCTGTAAGTCTTTCTTCCTTCCTTGGGGTTGCAGAAGTTGAGTGATACACTCAAGCTTATCAGAGCTGTTTTCAGCAGAGCTGCTAAGAGACTCATACCACCGATATGATTTAAAAAAACCAAACCAAACCAAACCAAGTAATACTAGCTTGTTGAGGGTTACTATGCCCTTCCCTGAACAAATCCCTTCTCTTCCATCTAGAAATCTTATCTTGTAGGTTTTTAAAAATTCCGCTTACTTCTCTGGAAAGGAGGAAATCTCAGATGTTTCCCCCAAAACAGGCAGATTAGGTCTCTTGCATGCAATATGTAGATCTCTG